TTGCTAAATTTCAAATAAAATAATTGTCATTTTATATTAAATTCAGTTAGCTTATACTAATTTACTTCAGTATTTCAAGTAAAAATGTAATTAGTAAGATGAAATATTTAGGCACATATGGAATCTTAGGGCTAATTCATTTTGGTGGATCACTATAAACTAAAACAGCAATTAAAGTAAATTAGATTAGATGTTAATAATATAATAATTACTTAGTTGATTGGCAGACTCCTATATTAAAATCCTATTAGCTGCTTGCTACAAACATAGTAAGCTGAGTGATTAGTAGTCACACACATTTAACTTGCCTCTTGAGATGAACAACTTGGGAAGAAAGGGAACTAAAAATGAAAAAGAAAATCAGGTGACATTGAAGCTACAAAACTTTATGAACATTTTATTTCTATTAAAAGCAGAGAGTACCCAACAATAAAAAAATACAACAAGCACTCAACATTCAAGTAAAACTGTGTTTTCCCAAAGCATTCTTTAAAAAAAAATAGATTAAAAAACATTTACTAGAGTGGAGTTAGGCAACATGTAGGCTATTATTAAAGTTAAAATTACTGTTCCTACTTATGCATATTCACAGACCTCTAAGTACTAATGTGCTGGAATTTGATAAGACAGAGCGACAAGGAAAGGTCCTGGTTTTATAGTTACGTGTGAAGATTGCAGTGCTGTCTCTCAGCTGTATCTCTATCGGCAAAGCCTTACTTTGTAAGAAGAGGGCAATGGATTCTGTCCAGAAGCAGGTTAAGTTATCAAGTTACTAGGATATTTTTTATGTTATACTTCTTTTAATTTTTTTAAAAAATCATTTATTTTTATTCCATGTGCATTGGTATTTTGCCTGTATATATGTCAATGTGAGAGTACTGGATAACTTGGAACTGGAGTTATAGATAGTTGTGAGCTGTCCTGTGCGTGCTAAAAATTGAACCGAGGTCCTTTCATTTATTTATTTATTTATTTATTTATTTATTTATTTAGGATTTCTGCCTCCTCCCCGCAACCGCTTCCCATTTCCCTCCCCCTCCCCCGATCAAGTCCCCCTCCCTCATCTGCTCGAAGAGCAATCAGGGTTCCCTGACCTGTGGGGAGCCCAAGGACCGCCCACCTCTATCCATGTCTCCTAAGGTGAGCATCCAAACTGCCTAGGCTCCCAGTGCTCTTAAGCACTGAGCCGTCTTTCCAGCCCCAATGCTATACTTCTTATATGAATAATGTATGGAAATACTTCTGAGTTAAACTAAGAAGTGAAACACGGTAACTTTCATGTCTGAGATGTATACAGACAATTGTGACTTTACAGACTGCTTCCTGAGACACCAAATGAACATAAGATAATATCAATACTATACATAGAATCTTAGGCTCTTTTGCTTTTTTACTTGGAGCTGTCTCCTGTAATGGTGAAGTTCTCTTTAGGCAGTACAGCACTATCAGGAAATTTAGGATATGTTATGAATAAGAAATACATTATCTTATCTCTTGCCTCTCACCACTTGCAACAGATGGGGGAGCTGACTCTCCCATTACAGTCTGCAGTGGGCCCTGTTCCTAGCCTGGGCAATACAGTAGAGCTGACCCTGTTGACAGAGGTGCTGATGAGATAGCCCTTGCGTGTATGAGAGTTGGCCAACCCCCTCTTCTGACATATGGTTGTGAGGGCGAGGGAAAGATGCCTCTCCTCCTTTGTCCTTGCCATCTGTGGTGGGCAAGAGAGCTGATCCTCCCCGCTTACCAGTTGTAGCACTTTGGAAAGTGGATCCTGCACCTCGCCTGGGGAGCACAGTAGAGTCAACTCTGTTGGTGGAGGTGTGGGTAAACCAATCCCAAAGTTTTGAGCATGGGAGGGATGTCCCCATTACTTATCTGTCATATGCATAGGCAGAGGAGAGATGCTCAAACTACATGCCCCCATCAATGCCTGAGGCAGGTGGAAGAGCTGTCTCTGTTATCCTAAGAGTGGGAGAGCTGTCCCTGTCCCTCATCAGCTGCAGCATTTGGGAGAGTGGTCCCTATGCCACACGTGGGCCACACAGTAGAGCTGGCCTTGAAGGTGCCGGTGGAGGGGAACCAAACCCGAGGATGTGAAAGCTGGAGAACACGCCCTACCCCTTCCTCATCACTGCAAGGAGTGAACTAGCCAAGGCAATGCTGCAGAGCTCAGCCTGGTGGTGAGGATAAGGGAGAACTAGCTGAACAATCCTGTAGCTGCCCAGGTCCAGAGCCAGGGTTATGACTTGGTCCATCCCAATATCCACCCCATCTGTGATCTGTTGAAGCAGAGTGGGGGTGAGGTCTGTCCTGTAGATCCAGGTCTGCTGGATCTCCATGACACAGGGCAGCAATGGGATGTCCAGGAAGAGTTCCAGTGAGGGCCCAGTGTCCATGGTATGGCAGACGCCAGGGGACCTCAAACCAGACCAAAGCTTCTTTGTGATAAATGCCTGATGTAAAGATGTATGGATAAAGGGGTTTACTGCATGACTCACTGTGTCATACTGCAGCATCCACGATGAGATTTCCCGTTTTTTCCCTCTTTTTCTCTTAAATTTTATTTCTTTTTGAGGAAGCCGAGGGGGGGGGGGTGAGTGTGATTGGGAGGAATAATGTGAAAGACACAAAGAATAAATTTAAAAAGTTAAAAAAAGAAATAAATTATTAGCCAGATGGTGGTGGTGCACACCTTTAACCCTAGCACTAGGGAGGCAGAGACAGGGGGCTCTCTGTGAGTTCAGCCTGGTCTACAGAGAGAGAACCTGGACAGCTAGGGCTACACAGAGAAACCCTGTTTTGAAAAACAAACAAACAGAAACAAAAAAAGAATACATTGTTAATTGTCTGAGACAGAAATAACTATGATAATGATAAGTATTTCTTAGAGCAAAAATGTTACCCATTTATAAGGTTATTATTAGTAGATTTCATTAAATTTAGGGATTCTGATCTGTAGTTAACTTCTGGAAATGAATTCTGTGTTGCAATGTCAGTCATGACAATGAAGATCAATAATGAACTTAGCATTTACAAAACACACACCTCTGTAAATTATGTGCACTATTTCTGTCTCTTTTTTTCTGCCTTTTATGGAATGCTCTCCTCTCATTCACTTTCTCTTTTATTTAAGGCTCCAGGCGAGACTTTGGGTTACTGTTTTAAAGATGAACACTATTGATGAGGCAAGGGATCATCAGTATTTTAGGATACACTCTAAGCTTTGCAGACAGACATCCTTCATGAAAGAGGAGAAATTAAGACCCAGTGGATATGAACAGGTGCAGATCTGTTCAAAGGACATCTGCTGAAAGGATGGAGTTAGAGGCCCGAGAGACAGATGGCCAGAAATTATACAATCTCATTTTTTAGTGACTTTCATGAAATGTCACTATTACTTATACATTAATAATTCATTTCAAGGGTACTTTCATTGCTCTAAGGTGTCTGATCTTAATGTTTCACTGTTATGAACAGAAATTAAAAGTTAGCTATCATCAAAGGACAGAAACACAGGAGAGTTACTAATGTTTGGTGCGTTGTGTGACTGGCAGATTAATATTAATACTGAGCAGATTTAATATATGCTTCAAGAGACCAGGCAATCTTGAACCAGCTATTTTTGGTGAAACAAAATGCCAGGTAATGCAAACTAAAGGACATAATGTCAAACATGGGTGTTAGCACAAGTGAATGAGGGAAAGCACGGTCAGACACAACACGTCAGTTTCCTATGACCTCAAAAGTAAAAGTGACTCCAGAAAAATTTAACAAAAGCCTTTTTCTGCCTTCATTTCCAAAAGTAACATATGAACATTTACTTAGGAATTGGAGACAAACATTTGGTATTCAGGATACAGGAAATAGAAAAAATAGGTTTCCGGATACAGAAATGATAGGCATTTCTAGGACCTGGCACTACAACAACCCTGCTTAGTCTATCCTCCAGAAGTGGGAGGATGGGAGTCTGTCTCCCCTGTGCGATGAATAGCAACATTTCTGCTGTAGGAATAAATCGCTGCAGGCATTTTATAGAGCTATAACATATTACTTTCAGTAAGAAAGTTCCTGGAAACAGTAGTGTAATACTTTAAGTAGAAAGATGCACAGAAGCCCCTGCTCCACTGCTACCCTGTATTCCAGTGCTGTATGGGTTGACAACAAATTGAGCTTAAAGCTTAATCGGAGATCTGAGTCTATGAAGCAGGGTGGTTTTGTTGTCATTTGTTTGAGACTGAATTTCATTGCACAGCCCAAGATGTTTTTGAACTTGCAGTCCTCTTGCCAAGTGCTGAGATGGCAGTGTATTACCATATCCAGCTAACACAGGAGCTTTAACCTGGCTCTAGGTAGGATGTATTCTCACAGCCTGATTCCTGGACTCAGTGCATGCTCTAAGCCTGTGCCCAAGCTGTACTTGTCTCTTTCTGCTTTTATCAGACCTCAAAGGTTATTATCTAATCCTTGAAGATGTCCACACCCAATCAGGCCATGGCAGATCCTGTTCTTAATGACCTCAGAGCAGCACCAGGACAAAGAGAAGTTGAGGGTGGGACAGGGAGATTAACTGTTAGTAACTGGGGTTTAGAGACGTGAGGGTAGAGCAAAACACTCCAAAGAATTCATCCTGGAGGGCTAGCAAGTTCTGTGCACACCGTGTGAAGCACCCATTTTCAAGGCTGCTGCCAGGTTAGAGACACAAAAGTCGAGGGACTCACTATCCTACCTCCCAACGCAGCAGCAGTTTTATGTTATGTGTACTCAGAATTATTTTCCCATCCAAAGCACTGTTCCTCATTGCACGTGTGTGCTGCTGGTTATTTACTGTCAGTGAAGCACACTTGATGGACTCCAGAGAGTGAGGCACTTTAAATTATCAACACTTGTATGAATAAGCACCATGACATCCACTGGCATCCACTTCTTCACCAGGAGCTAGTCTGAGCTCAGTGGTTTTATGTTTTCCTCATGACAAGCAGAAGCATATTAACAAGTACCTGCGAGGTTGTCGATTTCTTTCTCCTGAAGCAGGCTGACCGCATCATCATCTCCTTCCAACATAAGCTCAGCCTCTGAGTTCTGGTTTACGATTGCTTGGCTTCTGAATGCTTTCTTAGACTTCACTACATCTTCTTCAGTGCCTATATGCAAGCAAAATAGCAGTTTAGTTACTGTGAATGTATTTGCACCTAGTGGGCATTTGATACACATTTTCTTTCCTATATGCTATGACTGCTATTCCTCTATAACTACAGAGCATTTTAAAATACTTCTTTATCTGTTTGTCTGGATTCCTCTGAGAAAAGTTGAAGGAGGTTTATCCCTTACTTTACAGATAAAGAAGCAGGGGGAGCAAGCTCTTGGCTCACTGTGGCCCTACAATCCATCCTTCTATTTTCTTTACAATGCACTGTCCCTGATTTTACCTACAGCCCTTTCTACCTGTTGAGACCAGGTCTCTCTGACTTGCCAAGGTTGGCCTTGACTTGTGATTCTCTTGAGCAGCTCTGAGTGGCAGGATTGCAGGCCCACTCTATCAGACCCAGTTTATAACCCATTCCTTGTGACTCTAGAATCATGCGTGCTCTATAAAATAGCTGCATTTCCCTTCAAATTCGGCTTCCTGATCCATACAACTTTAAAATTTTACTTATATAACCATACTTGGTGTGAGTTAAGTAAGTAACGAATCAGTTTTTGAAAGTTGATGATATAGGTCTAAAGAAAACGGAAAGTGTTCACTTCTAAGTGAAGAAATGGCGTCAACTGGGAAGCTCTAATAAAAGGTGGTGAAGGTAGAATGGTCCTCAATAGACCTATTGCATAAAGTGGTTTCTCTACCAATTAACAAAATAAACATGGATTTTCTGAAACTATATCCTGCTTTGGTATATGGCAATGCAGAGAGATCCTACCTCAAAGAAAACACACACACACACACACACACAAAAAAAAAAAAAAAAACAAAAACAAAACAAAAGATACTAGTAAGGCTGAATTAAGAACATATTAAGAAGAACATTCCAACAGCTAAGTTGGTTTTATCTCAGAGGAATAATGCTGGTTCACATACAAAAAATTGACTGTTTGACAAACATTTTCACATTCTCACACACTTGCTTTGGGTGACAGCAATCTAAAAATTTTAAAACTGCAAATAAACTGGACACTTATATGCAAACATAAACTAACCCACATGCGAAAAGCTCTTTTTCATACTATTTCAGTCTCAGGCATACCATGCTGAACATGCACACAATCTTGTCTGTGTCCCTTGAAGTCTAATCTGGAGGAAAATACTGTGTTCTTCTTACAGCATCTGGCACAGGCTTGGAAGACAGCACTGACTAGTAGGATGCTGCATGCAGTGTATATACTCTTAGAAATCAGTCCCATATGGAAGTGCTGTGCTTAGTGCCAGGCTCTGTGATAACGGTGCTCCCAGGGCATGCCAGAGCTCTGGCCCAATATTTGTCTGATGCAATTTACAGTACACTTATTTGGTCAGTTTTCCTAGGTCCATTCCACAGGCCTTTCAACAGTGCATCAATGCTGGTGTTACTCAAATGCTTTCCTGGAAGCACATCTAGGTGCTGGAAAATTTGCACTGGGAAACAGCATGTGAGCCTATTCTCAACCCTTAGTTTCTGCTTCCTTCTCTCCCTGTCCTATGTAGCTTTTCTCTTCTTTCTTTTCTTTCTTTACCTCTCCCTCTCCCCACACTCTCTCTCGCCTTTTTCTTTTCTTTTTTGAGACAGAAGCTTTTCTTTTTTGTAGCGACTGGAGCACGGATTATGCTTGATAAATACAAACCGATTCAAAGGCCATAAAAAGTGTGTGTGTGGGTCCTTTCTCACTGGTTCATGGGGGATTCTTATTTCTGGAATACAAGACGAAGGACAGAGCCTGGAATATTTCAGACCTATATCCCAATACGAACTCTGCATAGCAGCAATGTCTGAGGGGAAGCAATAGTCTCAATCCCTTTACTAGTTGGGCAGTAATTTAATAAGAGAAATTCTGAGCTTGCTTTCTTTAACAAAAGACACAAATGCAATGATAACTCAGGAATCTTTTGCCTGCACAACAGCACTCATGCACTGCCCAGCTGAGTTAATTAGCTTGTTCCTCCTTTCTCCTGCTTAGGTCAAGGGTGAAGATTCATCTTGTGTAATGCTGGCCACTGCATTACTTTCAGCCATTACCTGGTATGGAGGCTTTCACCAATGCACAGTTCATATATGACTCTCAACACATTGTCAGAATATTTATCATACAATACAAGTACCCTGGATAGCTTCTGGAATATGCCATGCTCTCACATCCCTCTAGATCTGTACTGATGGTATGCCCAATGTAAAGGGTTTTCCTTTTCTATTTTTTAGTTGCCCTTCATTACTTCCTTCGTTCAGACATTTTTCCTAGGTGACCCTGGTGCTGTCACATCTGGATCTGGATACATTTGGATACATACTGGAGGCAGGATCTCTTATGGACCTGCTCTCTGCATTGTACTACTTTGTCATCTCTGAAACATAAGGGTCTGGTACTCAGTAGGTGCACACAAAACCTGCTGAAATTCAGGATTAAATCCATTCCTTGTCATGACTTGTCCACTCTTTCACTTATGCTCTCTCCATACCTCACAAACCTTCCAGCTGAAGTGCCTAGCATTTGCTTGCATATTTATCTCCACAGACACCTGGAAGCCCTTCGATGGCTGGAATCACATCTGTCTCTGTATTCCCCACACTTAGCACACTGCCTGGTAAGGAACGAACACTAACAAATCCTCAATGAATCAACTGAAGCACAGGAGTCACCTCTGAATATCTCTAACTCAAAATTTCCCCCAAATGCCCCAGAGTCTCACTGATTTGTGTTAATTTATGTGAAATGGAGCCCAAGTATTTGCATTAAGGTAACAATGCCCGTTAAGTTTCAGTCAGCCTAATAAGCAAGTGTTTCCTTGTATAGAAGAAACAGAGCATCTTTATGTGACTATGTTACCACAGTAAAAATCTACCTGTAAAGAATATGCAGTAGAAGGACGAACTTGGAAATGTATCAAACTTTGTTTGATCTCTTCTGGCTTTGAAGCAAAACACAATTCAAGTCTTTTCATGGTATTTGCTAAAGGAATTGGTACCTACACACAGGGCTGATCAGCCCTCCTGAAGTGTTACTATCTTGCAGCCCAGTGAACTTACCAGTTTTGTGGAACTGAAATAAACATTTGTCTAGATTAGAGAATATGAGATTTAAAGGTGCTTTTCAATCACAATATCCTTTATGAATTAGAGTTTCATCCATCAACATTACCGCGAAAGGAGGCAAGGTCTCAGAGGGCTGTCTCATTACAAGGCTTGTAAACACTGTCCTTAGAGAGAATTGGTTTATCACCTAACAAATCAAAATCTGATTGAGAGGAGAATTTATTTGAGATCATCTGTCTTAGAAGACATGTTGAACTGAATGCACTTTTTGGCCTCTTTAGCCATTCATCAAGAAATTAACGAGCAAATGCCTCAAACCACTGGAGCGCCTTAGACTTGAAATGGGAATCACACACACAAAAATGAGCAAAGCCAGACAGGAGAGACAGAGAGGATCATTTCCTAAGAAAATATTAAAATGGCATGGGAATGTAAAGTTTCAGAAGAAAAAAGTACCACAGACTTGTAGATGAATGAAGTCAAATGCAAAATTAGACTTGTTTTCATTTTCTACCATATTTAAACATAGGAAACCATTTTCCATAGACTTATTCATAGAGTTATAGAGACACAGTGCAGCCCTGAAGACTTTCTTCCTTCATAAGTTTCTCTTACTAAGCAAGAAACCGTAAGAATCCAAGTATATTCTAATTGAGCTAATTGCTAATTAATTAACTACTTTTTTTTTCCCCTGCCAGGGACTCCATGCAGGGCCATGTATGCTACCAAGCTAAATCATCCACTCTAACAAAGCATATTTAAAAGTGAAGTGACAGGAAAACTAAAATGTCTCCAGCATTGCTACTATGTGCCAGCACCACACAGCCTTATTACTATTGCCTTAATTTTCATTGTCTTAAGTAACCGTAAGTTAAGACATTGACAGAATATGCGTACTATACTTGTTGATACTATCAATGTCTGAAAAAATCAAGATATAGCAATTACTTTGTTGCCATTATATTATTTTATATTGACAAACAAATACCATAAAGGACAATATAACATGGTTTGTTTTCATTTAAGGGATTATTCTACAGGTAACTGCAACAGGTAAAAACGAGCAGCAGTCACCGGGCGGAAGAGGTGGCTTAGGGATTAAGTCCTTTAAGCCTGACACAAGTGATTTTTTGTTCATCTGGCTTATCTTCTGATGTCAATCTTCTGTGTGCTAGATATGGATTTAATTTATCCTCATTTATTTTGAAATGTTTTATTTAGAGATTTTTCTTAGCGACATTCTCCCCACTTAGTTTAGTTCTGGTGTGGTACTTAGGATGGAACCTAGGGTCATGAGCCTTCAAGGCAAGTGCTCTACCATTGATCTACATCCCCACTTTCTTAGTGCAATTTAATTTCTGTCTTAGGCATTGAGTAAACAACTGTTTGTTGAGAAAGCACATAAAACAATACTGTTACAGCTCCCCACTAATTCTAATTTCTATCTTAGGCATTGAGTAAAGAACTGTTTGTTGAGAAAGCACATAAAACAATACTGTTACAGCTCCCCACTAATTCTCTTCTACACGTGTGCTTAAGTTACTTTCCTTTGCATGTTTATCAGTTTATTCATAATGAGAAACTGGACTTTACAATTTACCATTCTTTATTCGTTCCTTTTATACTCATTATGAACATTTTTTAAAGATCTACACCAATTTCCTTTTCTTAATTTATGTTTTTAAAAAACCTATATTTTCTCATTTTACACGTTAAATTCAGTTCCCACTCCCTTCCCTCCACACCAATTTCTTAACTTTGGTTTCCAATCTGTGAAGGAGGAATAATGAGCATTTTCCCAACTAAAGTTTTAAGGGATTACTGCAAAATTAAAATGAGATAGTGGGTGCTTTCGTATTTTGAAGCTTTACTGCTCATGATATTAGTGGATTTATATAAAAGGGAGAGAAGAAAGTAGGTAAACG